TGCTGAACGTTAAAATAAGTTTATGTTCGATACATTTTACGGGGTACGTTAACACGTCCCACAGATACTTCGGTACTCCCGAAGTATGCGAACCAAAAGGCCGGACACCGGAACGTAGTATGTGTAGAACGTAGAATGTGAAGATGTGTAGAAGTATAGTATAGAGCAGACACGTGATCTTGATAAGGTAAAATGCACTTTCAGTAAAATTTATAAATGTTGCATAATCACAGCAAATTTTGTTTTTCGATCTCTTGCTACTTAACTCTCGTTTTTAGACACATACCATGCTTTTGACAACAATTTGAACGAAGACAAAATCTTAAATTTTCCATTTAGTATTATAACTTGAAAGATAGAAATATATGGGACTTGGCCTAAGATATTGCAAGGCTGAAATTTAAGTGTACAACACTACGAAAAAGCAAGTCTAGTAGGGGAAATCAGTACATTTTATTTGTTGTAACAGTTTTCCATGTGCTTGTTTCTTGTGATGACAAATAAAAGATTGATTAATTGAATCATTTCAAACACATCGCAAAAATTGACTTCTGTTCATCGTAATTACATCGTTGTTTATGTTCATTTTTGCTTAACACGTCAAAATATTGGATCACAATGAAAACAATGTAGTGTATCATTATCATCCGGCAGCACATATTTTAAATTACACCTATTTTAATGGGTAATAATTAAATATTTATGTTGACCAGTTATTTTTATTTTTTCAGAGTCCGATGACAGATTTTCTCGTAAAGGCGAGCGTTTCAATAACGACGGGAAACATTGTTTCGTGGTAACCGAAAATTTCGTATCAATGAACAAGCGCCATGATTTCAACTTCGTGGCATCTTTCTCTATATTCATTCCCGGCGAGGTTGTTGTGTGCGAAATTAATATCAATAACAAGGCGATAAATGGGGGAATGCGTAACTTTGTCTACAATTTCACATAATAAAATTGGTGAACCAGAATCTTTCTGAAATAAGTACAAATTTGAATAAACGAGCGATATTACTCATGACTCGAGAACATTTATTTTTGTACGTTTTATTTTTGTACGGGTTTGGCACAGATTTGGCTATATGAGCGTTATCTGGTTAATAACTTTTGTGTTAGAGCAGGGATGGGCAAATTACGGCCCGCGAATTGGATCCGGCCAACCGAAGTGTTTCATCCAGCCTGAGTCTGAAAATATTGATGAAAATAATGACCCCGATTGTTACATTGTGCTTCCAATTATTATATAAACTTTAGCCTATAGCTGTTGGACTAGCTTTTGTAAATAAAAAGTTTTTTATTAATATTTTTTCGATGAGCGTTAAGTCTCCGACTCAGCGTATTATCTGCAAATGGTACACTCAGAAAAGTAATTACCCACCCCTGTGTCAGAGGGCCTACAGTGCGTATGATGAACTCAGGGGAAAACTACACCAGACTGGACAGCACAACTGTTGACCAACCCCTGTACGACGTAGAGTGCAGTATCACACATCATATTCACATTCGTATTAATAGGTCGTTCGTTTAATTTTATCAAATACGTTACTTAATTAAGTCAAAGCTATATATAGATATGAACTGTTGTAAATACAATATCAAATTTATGTGGACTAATATCTTGGGTTGATTTCTCGATCACGCTACTAAATGTAGGTGATCAAGTGCGGCCGCGTTGACCTTCGAAGAAAAGGATTTAATTTTCACATATTTAACACGCAGGTGCACACATTAACTACTCTGAACTTTATATTTTCAGGTTTGTAATTTCTGTAAATATATATTATTTGCCTATGATTTGAATTTTGCGGCACAAACTACTATGTACTATGCACCCCATGCAGTGCAAGGATGTTGTAGCAAGAGTGAAGATGACTATTCTACAAGTCTTAGTGCATAAGAAGTCTGACCATATCACATTACATATTTGTGTTATTGTGCAGCAAGATTTTTAAATGACTTAAAATCTGAATGAGGTAATAAGTAAAGTTAGCAATAGCAACTGAGCAATAAAACAATTTGTAAATTTTTCCAAAATCGGTATTCCAGATTTGAGTCTATAATAGGATGAATGTAAATAAAAATCTGTTTTAGAGCTGTTAGTGAATTTACATAGAAAATTGAGCTAGCAAAACATGGAGGCCATACAAATTGCGATTGGGACCATATACCCATTCATGTTCCTAACCTATTGTCTATATAGCAGCAATAGCCAACTTTAAAATTTTCAGGCCCCACAGCCATCCCTATTTTTAACCAATAGCAACAATAATGCCAAGCCTACAATCAACTGATTGATAACAGTAAAGGTCACAAAGTAAATTTAAATCGAGCGCTATAATCAAATTGGGAGACGTATCACTTTGGGACTTTCAGTCGCCAATTTTTGCGTTAAACGGGCCTGAAAATAATCTGAATGTATCTAATCAAAGACGATGTTAATGTTACTTGAAGACGACAAGTTACTGAATGCGGCGGTAAAATAAGAACCAGGTATCATAGGTTTGCTTAACCTACTTTTGTAGTTACTGTCGTAGTATGTGTATCAGGTTAGGTTTAGGCCATAATTTTATTCCAATTTTCCTTATTTTAGTTCTATTACGAGTTCGGGAACTGTTTGTATTAGTCAAGTGAATTTGGTCAGTGCCCATAGGTTCTTTTACACAACTTGATGTGAAGTATGGGCGAAAAATATTAGTTACCTCCATATTGGAGCGCCGCTTTGTATCTGCAACTGGAAAAACAAAATTAACTTCTTTCTATCTATTCTATGAAAGACGGTTGCCTTCGATATCATTGTCATATCATTTCTGTTTAATATTTTGCTTTTAAATGAGATATATTTTCAATATGCGAAAGTTAATTAGTCTTATTTTCAAACTAGACTAACAAAGCTTCCAATCGCGCATCAAAATACGCGTGCGGAACAATTTCACATAACGAAGAGAAATATCCCGACTTTGGGAAATCACCAGTTTTGCGTCACGGTTGCGGAAATGCGTTATTCATTTTGCGCGCATTTTTCAAATTGCAACACGAGCACCTCTCTAGCGAAACCATCTGTTATTATTTCTTGTTCTGATTCATTTCCACAGCTTTATTCAATATCTTAATCAAGTCAATACATTATGCGTTTTTATTATAAAATCTCATTTGTTCGAAGTTATAATTTGACTATACTGAATAACTTATTTTCCCGGCACATAAATCTTTTGGGTTAAATTCTCGATAAAGCTAGTAAATGTATGCGACCAAATGTGACTGTTGGCCACGTAGCAGAGAGTTTAATTTTTAATCAGTTGACACGTAGGTGCTCGTAGTTTATATTTTATATTCTGAACTTTATATATTCAGGTTTGTAATTTCTGTGAATATAAATGATTTGCCAATGATTCGGTTTTTGCATCACAAATTACTATGTGTCGGTGGTTCCGTATATACATGTAGTGCAAGGATGTTGTAGCAAGATTGAGGATGAATATTCTATGAGTGTTAGTGCATGAGAAGTCAGACCTTGATAAGACGAAACTAAATATATTTGTGGTATTGTGCATCAAGAGTCTTAAATCCGAATGAGTTAAAAATTGCTCAATAAAACATTTTGTAAATTTTTCCAAATTTGGTATTCCGGATTTGAGTCTATATTGCCGGATGGATGTGATTAAAAACTTGTTTTGGAGTTCTTAGTGAATTTACATAGAAAATTGAGCTAGCAAAACATGAAGTATTATGAATGTCCGTTTGGGATATTGGGACCCTATACCCACTCTGTCCCTAACCTATTGTCCATAAAGCAGCCTAATAGCCCTCCACAGAGAAGCCCACACAAATAGCGATTAGAACCCATCATAAGCCTATTGTAGGTAATTCGCAGCCAAGTATCCCTTTACAGGTGAAGCCATACATATGTCGATTGGGATCATATATTCAACCCTATTTTGAACCTCACGTGCATATGTCAGCCCAATAGCCCTCCACAGAGAAGCCCATAAAAATGGCGATTCGGGTGATCCAAAATCCTGATCTACTGTCTATTATGTATTAGCCCAGTCTAACCTCACAGAGGTGTCCATAGACAAATGACAATTCAAGCTTTATAATCATTCCTATACTAAACCGATACCCGATAATGATGCTTAGCTTTGAATTAACTGATTAATATTAATGTCACAAAGTAGATTTATACTGATTTAGCGCTATAATTAAATTGTGAGAGAAGTGTCACTTTGGAATTTCCGACCGCCACATTGCGAGAAACAAGCTTGGAAATAATCTGAATTTATCTAATCAAAGACGCTGTCAAGTGTGTGTACCAGATCAGGGTTAGGTCATAACTTTAATCTAATTTTCCATATTTTGGTTCTATTACGAGTTCGGTGACTGTTTGTGTTAGCCAAGTGAATATACCCCCTGCCCATAGGTTTCTGTCCCATTACATAACTTGATGTATAATGGGCGAAAAAATGAGTTACCTCCATATTGGTACACACACTTCTGGAGCGCCGTTTTGTATCTGCAGTTGGAAAAATAAAATTTTTCTATCTGTTCTATTAAAGACGGTTGCGGTTGCCTTCGATGTCATTTTCATATCATTTCTGTTTTCATATCTTGTTTTTAAGAGATATATTTTAAAAATGTGAAATTTAATTTGTCTAATTTTTAAACTAGACTAACAAAGCCCCTAATCACGCATCAAAATACGCGTGCGGAACACATTCACACAACAAAGAGAAATATCCCGACTTTGGGAAATCACCAGTTTTGCGTCACGGTTGCGGAAATGCGTTTTTCATTTTGCGCGCATTTTTCAAATTGCAACACGAGCACCTCTCTATCGAACCCATCTGGTATTATATATTGTTCTGGTTCATTTCCACAACTTTATACGATACCTGTTGTTCAAGTCAATACATTATGCTATTTTCGAAATAAAATCCCATTTGTTATAAGGTATAATTTGACTATACTGAACAATAAAATCTATCAAAAAACAAAATATCATTCTTATGCAGTCGTGAATATTTATTGATGTTTATTGATTATATTTCAAAAAACTAGATTCGTTGAACTTCAGTTTCCTTTGCGTAGAGGATCTCTTGGAACTTTTGGTGATAATTAGTCCTCTTTATTCTGTTAAATAAAAAAAATTGAGATTTTTTGTACAAAGCACCCGCCACTGATGCAAAAAATGTGGTCGATTCAGAAGTATGTTTACCAATATGGAGGTAACTAATTTTGTTTGCTTGCTTTACATCAAGTTGTTTAAGGGCCTGAAACCTATGGGCAGGAGGTATATTTACTTAGCTAACATAGCCAGTCCCCGAACTTGTAATAGAAATAAAATAAGGAAAATCGAAATAAAATTATGACATAACGCAAATGTGAAATTTGCGGAAAACAGACCCGCCACGTTTGTAAGTACCAAATTAGTAATTATTCAGTTGGGATTAGGTTTGTGAATGATTTGAAAAACATGAATTTCTTTTGCTATGTGCATCCCTAAGTCTAACCATAAGTCTTATCTGGATAGATACCACTTTTTATGTGTTTTTTTTTGGTTGGACTTTGTCTCAAATTAGCCACAAATATTTACTAAATCAGAATGGCTGGAAAGATGTCGTAATTCAATGACAGTTAGGATGAATTTTTGACTGAGATATTCCGGATATGGTTTGATAATAAAACTTAAAATATCATGTAAAATTTGCCGAGACACGTCATTAGAATGATTGGACTGAGTTCTCACATGTTATCTTATTACGAATGAAGGATTTTTGAAGAAAGTTCTTGCTCACCTGTAAAGGAGGGTAGTCTAGATATGCCACGAACTCTCTTGTCATGACTACGTCGTCATTTATTTTGATTTCGCATATGATGAGATCATTTGAGTATTCACATTCAAATGAAGAGAGAATGTTGAAAGTATGCGAATCATCACTATCCAACCAGTCGTTGAGCACCGTAAATGAATACCTCCCACCATTTCTAAAATACTCATCAACGCCCTCTCTTGGCTGTAAATATATAGATAAATAACTCATGAATTGATTATAAAGTTAGAAATGACGCTATTATAACACGTTAAGCTGGATGCGATATAAAACATAGTTTTTATTAATGAAAGAGAATTATCTCACCTTTTCAGGGAATAAGCGTACTTGGATTAAGTCGCCAGCTTTCACCCGTGGAAGCATTCCGAAGTTAAAAATCAATTTTGCTCCCACTTTCGAGAATTCTTCGTCTTTGTGGGAATATTTAAACGAAAACAAGAAATGAAACTCTCGTTTTCGTACGAAATATAACGACGCGTACATCTTGTTCTTCTCTTCGTTAGGGGAGTTTGATTCAGACATCAGTAATTTCTCTCAATATAGAGTCAAATTCAACTTAGCACTGTAAAAACACTGATGAAAAACTTATAAATAGAGCCTTTATTTACCTAAGAGATTAGAAATGAAACCAAAAGGTAAATTTGTTAATCCTTATATGTTTATTATCTAAGTTGTGTAAGCCGACTCTAAGGTCTTTAAATTAATATTCGGGATATACCAAACTATAACTAGCTGACAGTCTACATACAAATACATAAACAGAACTACAGTATCGGTGGGTTGTTCTTTTTACGGTTATATAAAGAAGCACGACTACATTGCGTTGTTTTATGAATTCGCCGAAGTGTATCTCGCACCCTTTGAAAGTCACTGGATCATTTTAAAGGTGAACAATAGAAGTCACTTAACAAAACATACTCGTTCGTTATAAACTATAATATTACGTTGAAATTGATTGGGTCATGATTGATCGCGGAATATATATATATGCTTATTTTATTCAAGTTATTCCATTTATTTATTATAAGACACATAATAGAGCAACTACATAGTTGCCTCTGCTATCCTTACCATGACGGGTATTTATAAATACTACTTAAGTACTATAAGTACTACTTTTTGTATTTTTACAGGATATGACTTTCCTATTTTTCCCGGGGACGAAAAGCCGATAAGGGGCTTAATCATTTGGCAAACCACGGCCTCTCGCCCGGTTACACGATCATGTCGGATATGGGTATAGTTCACTAGTTATGTGCATGGATGCATGAACCAACAGTTACGTGAACCACATCAGAGCGTCGAGGAGTCCAGGAGTCCTTCTGCACATAAGATTTACAAATTTGTCACTAGGGAAAGGAAAGCCGATAGGACGGCCTAATCATATGTCAAACCGCGGCCATAATTCAAATTTTAACATAAACACAGAATTTGTAATATTTAAACAAGTCTTTGTAAAACCGCGCTTCCTCATTTTTCTTTTTCACTTCATATTTTAGGAAACAATCCGCGAAATTTTTCTTTAACGGACCTCACAACAATTGCGTTCAACCTCCTCGACCACCATCGCAAGGCGTTCCTTTCCCAATCAAGCTGAAGATGATTTGCAAACATGAAATCGGGATTCTTCATCTGATGATCCGCTGAATAAAAGGAACTCAGGTATCCATTTACAATTGTTGGTGTTGAGTTTGTTGTTGGGACAAAGCAGGCGTTTTATTTAAATTTAAAACAGTTAGATGTTTTGCAGCTGAGAATGATAATGGTTTACCCAGAGGCCTATTGCTTTTTCATGAGTTACTAACAAAGAGATATATTTTCAGTTCAGTGGTTACTAACTCGTTATAAAAATCAAAGTAGTATTATTAGTAGTTTCTTACAGTTGAAAAGTTGAAACCATTACGATTATATGAGACATTCTAGCCGCTTGTTTATTTAATCATGAACTTTAGAGTATAATTCCTCACAACAAAGAATGCAATAAGACAACAATAACTCGAAACTGCATTGATACTAGTCTTAAAGTAATTCTTAGTCTTGTTTCTTGCCTGGTATTTGATGGGAAAACATCTCCGAGATCTCCACATTACAGAGGGTGTCTAACATAACTGCTTGTTTGTTACCGCTTTCGCCGCCACTCATAATGCGGAACAGTTACACTAACCATTCCAATTCGTATCTCAGTTTGTTTACAGGACAAGAAACGGCTGCTTCATTTTATTATTGCGACGTCTTTTTGACTTTCTTCACCTCTGAAGAATATCGATATTCAGTAAGCTTTTTTCACAACTCAAAAAGGCTCTTACTACACCTCTAAAATTCCACCCTAAAATTCCCCCCTGACTACACCTCTAAAAGCGGGTACGATTGGAATATAGAAACAGGTAGCAAGTTTACAGTGTCATATGCATTAACTTTGGTGTGGGGAATCGCAACCGATTAGTGGAATGGGAACCTTTGCGGTGTGAAGTCCAGAAATTATTTGACATATATTTATTACGCCTATTTATTAATATTCGCCTGTTATTAAACAAAGCATATCTTTCGCTGCCATTTCATTTAATTCTTCAGAAAAAAAAAGTGAATAAAAGTCTTGTCTATGAAAAAGCCCATCTTTGCTCAAAAATCTGTGTTTGGTTTTTTATTCTCCTACAATTCGGTTTCCCAAATCTTAGATTCGATGAAAATAACCACGTGATAAAAAATTATTTTTGCAATGTGCTGTGTTTACACAGTATATCGTATTTATATATTTTTTAACTTGCAGAACGGGCTGAAATTTCCATCAAGACAAATAAGTTTGTCGAAGCTATTGCAGAATTCAAGCAATCAGGGAATAAAAATTTCAGAATAATTTTTTTACTGGCACAATGCATGCTTAGAATGGGATCAATACTGGAATCGTTATTGAAGAATTAGCACAGATTGTGAAATCCGATTCCCCAAATATTATTTTGTTAGATTCGGGCATATTTATGTTAAATAATGAGAAAATGCACTGCCTCTATGTCGATTGATGTGTATTGAATAGCAATGTGCATATATCGATTAAATGAAGCAATCAGATGAGCAATTAAATGAACAAGCGTCATGACTTCAACTTTGTGGCAACGCGTTCTGCATGGAGTCCCGGCGACGTCGTTGAGTGTGATATCAAATTCAATAAGAAGGCGATAAACGGAGGAATGCGTAATTTTGTTTACAATTTTACACGTTGAGATTGTTGAATCAGAATCCCTATAAACTAAGTATAAATTTGAATAAACGAGCAATATGTCTCATGACTCGAGAACATTTGTTTTTGTAGGGATTCATACTACGCCCTACTTACCCCTGATCACTAACCTCAAATTCATCAATACTGTATCCATAAGAAAAATGTTCCAACTTACCCAATATTTGTCACCATCAGGGGCAGCCCTGCAATTACAGCCGGCATGTCGTGGTTACCGCAGCGAAATTTTACCCGCCATTGTTTTTTAATTTGTTGGCGTGGTACCGGCATCTCGACATTGGTTTGTGGCAGCTAAAATGTCAGTCACCCTAGTTTGAAAATCCCGCCATGATTTTGCGGCAGCTTTAAACGCCACAAAATACTTAAAACTGCACTTGCGGATCCGACCCACCGAAGTGTTTCATCCAGCCTGAGTCTGACGAAACTACGAGTAACGTTTTTATGAATATAAATTTCCCTTGAAAATATTGGTTCACCACTAAATTTGGATAGTGTGTAATAGGTTCTTAAGTGTTTGCAATGTACCTCGAAACTTCATTTGTCTGACTAATAGGGCTGGGAATTTCAGGGAAAACACTTTAAACGTTGACCGGGTAAAATTAACCGGTTAACCGCCGCGTGAAGTTTCACGTAATAAATTTAAATTTTAGCTTGTTACGTCACAATTGTCACAAAGAAATTTCGCTTGATCTTATCCAGGTATCGCTCAAAATTATTCACGAATCAAATCGA